CGAATGCCTGTTGCTGTTCATCTGTCCAAGGTAGAGGGCTCTGAATCTAGTCCCTTTTAAAGGCCTGCTAAAGTGGCTTAGCCGTCAACTCCAAATTTGGAATCCAAATTCAACAAAAGCCAGACATTCCTGGGAATCCCTGCAATTGCTTCCTGTTTTGGGGACCCCCTCAGGGCCACCGTTACCTGCTTTCAGTCAGTTTTTAGCTTCCTTCAGCTTGAAGCTGAGGTTCCAGAGACTAGCAGGCACCTGTGAAAATCTCCCCTACAAGGAGATGGCTTCGAGGCTACTGTTAATTTACAACCCAGCTGAGCCCAAGATGATGCCAGCCCACTCACAAGAGGGAGCAACAATTCAAGACGGGTCATCGGAACAAGTCATGCAGGCCGGCACTGCCTCACCCCATGCCACAACTCCCTTCCCCTTTTTAAGCCTTTGCACTTCGCTTGGAAATTTGAACTAATTTCGTTAAGGCAAGAATCTAGGCCATCTTCCCCATTGCTAGCTTTGGTCTATAATAAAGTCACTTTCCTTCTACCTTACCTCTAACTTGCTAATTTGTTTTGCAAGTGGCGAGCAGCTGAACCTGTGTTTGGTAATGAGCGTGAGGGTGTGAGTATGAGTGGGTTCTGCGCTGGGATGGCATCCTGTCCAGGGCGGGTTTCTACCTTGCTTCCTGAGCCGCTGGAATGGGCTCCAGCCACCAGAGACCCTGAATTGGAACAAGTGAGGTGGAAAATGAATGAATAAAAATTATCTAACAAATGTGTAAAGTCTATGATAATCATACAAATGCATGACAATAAATAATGTATGAAAGCACTCCAGGAGTCCACCCTAACTGTAAATGATTTGAACTGCATGGTGGCAGGAGGTACTCCTTATAATTTTTGCTTTGTAAAACATTTTATTTCTTGGTTTAACCCACTACCACTACAACTGCCATCACTTGCTGGTTCATCAATCTTGGGTAAACAATGATCTTACATGTGCTTATTAATCTTAAAATGTATGTATAGCTCATGTTTATTTTAGTATTTACTATTAGAAGTGTTTTGGGCTGGGCACGTTGTCTCACTCCTGTAATCCCACAACTTCAGGAGGCTGAGGTGGGCAGATCACGAGGTCAGGAGTTCGAGATCAGCCTGACCAACATGGTGAAACCTCATCTGTACTGAAAATACAAAAAAATTATCTGGATGTGCTGGTGCACACCCGTAATCCCAGCTACTTGGGAGGCTGAGGCAGAAATCACTCAAACCTAGGAGGAGGAAGTTGCAGTGGGCCGAGATCGTGCCACTGCACTCCAGCCTGGGTGACAGGGTGAGACTCCATCTCAAAAACAACAACAAAAAAAGCAAAAAACAAAAACCCAAAAAAAGATGTTTTGGTCTTTATTTAGATGTTTGATGCTTTTGCGACCAGGAATATGCAGTGAGAACTTACCTTTTGTTTATAGCAATTAGTGTATTGTAAAATTAGTTGCATTATACATTGTTTTGCTTAAAGTTACAATTTCAAAGACCCTACTGGTGACATTAAATAGGGACTCACTGTACAATCCAGCTAAGAGCAGCACTGCTTAGAGTATAGTCATGCCTGTAATCCCAGCACTTTTGTAGGCCAAGGCAGGTGGATCTCCTGAGCTCGGGAGTTTGAGACCAACCTGGGCAACAAAAATAGAAAAGTTAGCCTGGTGTGATGGTTCATGCCTGTAATCCCAGCTACTCAGGAGGCTGAGGTGTGAGGATTGCTTGAGCCTGGGAAGTTGAAGCTGCAGCAAGTTGAGATCCTGCCACTGTACTCCCACTTGGGCAACAGAGCTAGACCTTGTCTCAAACAAACAAACAAAAAAGTTTGTTTGCCACCCTGGAGGGGTGGCACTGAAAGGGGAAATAATTAAACTGAATTTTCTAGGAAAATTGTCTCAGAATGTCCCTGAAAAGCATCTAACAGGTAGGCCTTTTAAAACTTTCATTTAATCTACAAGATCATTTGTGTTCAAATTTCAGTAGCCTTTTAAAGAGATCAGCTCTTTGTTAATCACTGATTCTTCCTGAGGCAGAGGTCATCCAGTATAACAGTAACATATTTCAACAGGCAAGATGTTAAATTATAAACCAAGAAATTAAAATTACCATCCCACTAAAGGGAAGACTGCCAAATTCCTAAAAACTTCCAGAAAGGAGTCTTGTTATTCTAAAGATGAAAGTATTTAAAAATAAATTGTGAGCAGAAATGGATAAAGCTAGAAGCAGTTCTGAGAAATAGTAAGGAACTTGAGCAAGTGATATTGAATACCGGGACATAGAGAGGCTTGTGTAAAGCATGTGTGTGTGATTGCTTCTGGATCCCTTAGGTTGCAGAAAAAGGCTACACCAAACTTTCTGGGTGGCTTTTAGGTAATGAAATGGGGCACTCTGGGTGCAAGACAGCTTATTTCTGAAATTGTGATTTATCAAAGCTGAAGTTCATTTCCCTCCCTGTTCTATCTCCCAGTGGCTTGAAGAAAGGAGTTTGTGTGTGGCAGAGTCTGAGTAACTACATTGGCATTAATGGGGTAGGCTGTGGCAGAGTGGAGGGGGAGGACCCTGGGTCCAAAGACCTGGATTTAAGCCTTGGCTCAGTTATTTACTTATTTGTTTACTCATTATTTAGACAAAATTGTACACATGTATGTTGCACAATGTAATGTTTATACATTATGAGATGATTAAATCAAGGCAATTAACATATCCATCATGTTACCTGCTTATTTTATGGTGAGGTACTTTTCATAGAACAGAATACATTATTGTTAACTGTAACCACCGTGCTGTACAATAGACCCCCAGAATGTATTCATCCTGTCCAACTGAAACTTTGTATCTCTTAACCAACATCTTCCCCCCTTCCCCCCAGCCCCTGGCAACCACTACTTCTGTGAGTTTGACTTTTTTTAGATTTCACGTATAAGTGAGATCATGCAGTATTTGTTTTTTTGCTCTGGCTCCGTTATTTCTGGCTCTGTGACCTCATCACTTTGTCATCTATAAAACGCCTACCTCCTCTGTTCCACTTGCACCTACTTCACCAGGCTGTTGTGAAAACAAAATGAGATAACGTGTGAATTCTGGGTTTTGGCATTACTGTCACGTTAGAAGTATTTGTGAGGGGCTTAAAATTTTGCTCTTAATTTGGCATCCCTAGTGAGACATATTTGAGAGGTTTAAAGCAGTAAAGGCCATAAAAGGGTTTGAATTTAGTGAACTCTGTTACTTGGGAACATCTGTAATCATTTAATTTGCTGACTTTTAGCACCAAACTTTCGCATACCTTCTCTATTACTTAAAATATGGTCATGGCTGCCATGACAGAGAGATCTAGAATGGGAGAGGCTTAAACAACCTAGAAATGCATTTCTGTTTCCTGTAACAGTCCAGATATAAGAGGTCTGGGGCACTTGGGAGGTTGGGGTTGTTGGCACATGGAGTCAAGAACTGAGGGACCTCTGTCTTGTTCATGTGGCTGTCACCTCTTGATCCACAGTGGCTGTTCCAGCTCTTTTCAACAGGAAAGGGAGGGAAAGAGATGGCCACAGTCATGTCCCTTCTTCACTCACACCCTTTTGAATGGAACTATTCAGGTGTCCACACTTAGCTACAATGTAGTATTGAGCTCAGCATCTTGTGTCCAAACGAAATTTTAATTGCTGTGTAAGAAAAAAGACTGAATACTGAAAAGGGGTAGGGAGGGGTGGTGGATAATGAGCAGTGTCTGTCACAGAAGCCTGTGGTTATGTTATTAACTTCTCTTTAAGAAATGTACAGATGAAGCCTGACACAGAGGCTTGTGCCTATAATTCCAGCTACTCAGGAGGCTGAGATGGGAGGATCACTTGAGGCCAGGAGATCAAGACCAGCCTGGGCAACATAGAGACCCTGTCTCTAAAAATAAGTAAGAGACTGCATAGATGCATGACAGACAGAGAGGTTTATATTATTCTATTCTGATAATCAACTACAGGATAGTACTGGATTTCTTTTTCTTTTTCTTTCTTTTTTTTTTTTTTTGAGACATGGTCTCATTCTGTCACTGAGGCAGGAGTGCAGTGGCACAATCTCGGTTGTCTGCAACCTCGGCCTCCTGGATTTAAGTGATTCTCCTGCCTCAGCCTCCTGTGTAGCTGGGATTATTGGCAAGCACCACCATACCTGGCTAATTCTTATATTTTTAGTTGCAGTGGGTTTTGTCATGTTGGTCAGGCTTGTCTCGAACTCCTGGCCTCAAGTGATCCACCCACCTTGGCCTCCCACAGTGATGAGGTAACAGGTATGTGCCACCGCACCCAGCCAATTTTCTTTTAAGTTTTTATTTTATTACTTTTTGTAGAGATGGGATATGGCTATGTTGCCCAGGCTGGTCTTGAACTGCTGGCCTCAAGTGTTCCTCCCATCTTGGCCCCCTAAAGTGTTGGTATTACAGGCATGAGCCACCATGCCTGGCCCGTAGGATGATACTTGAAAGGGATGATGAGGATGGTGAATCTGTTGGCTTAGAGGTTTGAATATTGTTTGTGCTTTTCAGACTTTTTGAAGCCATTTATTATTCACAGAACACCTGGTAGTCCCTTTTTGCTACATTCTAGGTGCTCTGCTAGGGACTGGGGAGTCAGAGATCATGGTCCCTGCTATCTGAGAATCAATTCCATAGAAGAGACAGGTATATTATGCAATGAGTAGAGAACTGTCTGTTGTATCCTCTGATGGAAGGCAGTGGGAACTCCTAGGAAAAGATCTGACAAATTTGACAGGCCGGGTGTGTGTGTGTGTGTGTGTGTGTGTGTGTGTGTGTTGGATGCAGGGTGGGGTAAGGTCACAGGAAGGAGGCTTGATTGGGGTTATGCCTGTACCACCTTGAATAGTGGTGAATCTCTGGGAGTGTGAACTAACTGAATTGATGTTAAGATGCTGTTCTCTAGTGTCATGTTCATGGCTTAATGTTTTGTCTCTGTTTCTCAGAAACTCAACGTGGGCATCGGAAACTTTTGTGACAAGGAGCCATGCTGCCCCGATGGGAACTGGCACTCTATCTACTTGCCTCACTAGGCTTCCACTTCTATTCCTTCTATGAAGTTTACAAAGTGTCCAGAGGTAAGGCCTCAAGCTGTTCTGACCTCCTATCAAACAAGGAAACACCTGTCAAAAGAGGAGCAGAGGTGGAAGACTCAGGAAGATGATCCAGTCATGTCAAGATGACGTGGACCTTGATTTGCTTCCCCCTGTCTTGGATAGTTTGAATTGGTGACCTGAGTCCATGAAGTTCTCTACCCTAATCCTGGGGCTTTTAGGTGATGTTGTGGCCTGTCTTCTATAATTGGTGGCTTTGATTCAATGGCTATTGAAGGCCATGGAGGGGATTTGTATTCAGAATTCAAAGTGAACTCTTAAATTTCTCTTTCATCATGACTCATTTGAGACATATGAGACCTGGACTTGATTTATCTTCCTGTTCTGCTGTCTTTGGTGTGTTGCCTTGTCTGAGTATTGGGAATGAGTCATGATCAGGTCACATTCCAGCCCATAGGAAGGGGAATGGGAGCCCTCCTTTACTGGGCAAGTAGCGGTTTGGCAAGGAGTACTTGTCACTCCTGCTCACACCCAGTTGGCCAGCTTTGAGTCCCACGGACACAGCTGGGAGGCTGGGAAATATTGAGTCCCATGGACACAGCTGGGAGGCTGGGAAATAGTCTTCAGCTTAGTGGCTAGATGCTACATACAACTTTTCTCTCTCTCTCTCTCTCTCTCTCTCTCTCTCTCTCTCTCTCTCTCTCTCTCTCTCTCTCCCCCTAGTTTTGCTCTTGTTACTCATGCTGGAGTGCGATGGCATGATCTCAGCTCACTGCAACCTCCGCTTCCTGGGTTCAAGCAATTCTCCTGCCTCAGCTTCCTGAGTAGCTGCGATTACAGGCACCTGCCATGACACCTGGCTAAGTTTTGTATTTTTAGTAGAGACAGGGTTTTACCATGTTGGCCAGGCTGGTCTCAAAGTCCTGACCTCAGCTGATCTTCCCACCTCAGCCTCCAAAAGTGCTGGGATTACAGGTATGAGCCACTACACCTGGCTTAAAACTTCTTATTTTATGGAAGAAAGAGAAAGAATTTTGGAGGGACCATGAGCAGTCTCTGCCATAGGTAGGAAGAGCATCCTAGAGGTGATAGTGATTACTGAGCCTTGTCTTAAGAAGAACAAGAGTCAGCCAGGTAGAGAAGTGAGCAGAGGAACTCTGAACAGAGATAAGTTTGCAGGCAAATGCTGTTGGGTATAGCTTACCATGATCAGGGAACTACAAACCTCTTAGCCGGGACTACAGTGCAGAGTGTGATGAGGGAGTGAAAGAGTTGAGCTTAGATCAAAGAGCAGGGATAGGCTGTGAAAGACCTGTGTTGTATATTTGGTCTTATTTTGAAGGCAGGACAGCATATTGAAAGTAATGCAGTCATTTAAAATGACAAAGGTAGTTTTTGGTAAGTACAGTTGAGAAGGCTCTACCTTCAGCATCTGCTGCCCTATGGATCACCAGGTTGACTTTTCTCTCCATTCTGAATGTGTCCCACTCATAGCCATGAGCTTCATTGCAGGAAGTGACCATCTAAAGCAGACAAGCAGCATTTGGTCAAGACTGTCTAAGTAGTTGCATTCCCTTGCTGGAGCCTCTGAGCTCTCAGAGCCTATGTAGAAGGAGCTAACCTGCTCTGTGTCAGGCATTGTGTGCTAGATACTTCATGTACCTTGTCTCGCTTGATCTTTAGCACAGCCCTATGAGATAGGATGTTATTTAGAAAACAAGCTTGGCTGTAGAAACAGCCTTCAATTTGACTGTAGTCCATGGCTAGTGTGGTGTCTAGCTAGCATCAGAGACCCTGGTTCCTTCTCCTGTGTTTCCCTGCCATCCTCAGTATGTTGTCCTACCTTTTGTAAGGTAACTGCTCTAGCTCTTGTTGTGTTTGCTTTTTGACCAGCAGGAAGGATGGAAGGGAAGGGAAGGACAAGCCCTCGCCCTTTCAGAACTTGACTTGAAAGTTGCTTATTTCAGATCCATTCAAGTACTACTCACCGGAACCCAGTCCTGTGGCCTCATTCACTGAGGGGAGCTAGGAAATGTAATCTTTGGTTGGGGGGCCATTTATTCAGCCAGAGCACAAGCGTTCTATTGTAGAGGAAGAAAGCAAGAAGGGACATGAGCAGTTAATTGGCAGTCTCCTCCATAGAAGGGTGTCTTCATTACTCATTTCTGCACAGCAGGCTATTCTGAAGCTTTGTGTGTGTATGTTTTTTTTTTTTTTTAAACCACCTTGTATTATCTATCTCTCACTGTTCTGTGAGATCAAGCCCCACCACACACACACACACACACTCTGTTTTGAATATACTTTATTTTTTAAAAGCAGTTTTAAAGCCAGGCATGGTGGTGTACTCCTGTAGTCCCAGCTATTGGGGAGACTAAGGCAGAAGGATCACTTGAGCTTAAGAGCTTAAGACCAGCTTGGGCTACACAGCAAGACCATGTTTCAAAAAATAGCAACAATAACAAAAACAGTTTTTGGTTCACAGAAAAATTGAGCAGAAAGTACAGAGAGCTCCCATATATATACCCCATGCTCTTCTACATACATAGCTTCACCAACTGTCAGCGTCCAGCACTAGAGGGGTGCATTTGTTACAACTGATAAGCCTACACTGACACATTGTTATTACCCAAAGTCCGTACTTTACAATAGGGTTCACTCTTGGTATGGTGTGCATTCTTTAGTGTAATGCTACACATTCACCATTACAGCATGCAGAGCTGTTTCGCTGCCCTACAGCACTTCTGTGCTTCACCTGCTTACCCTTCCCTCCCCACCAACCCCTGGTAACTCCTAAACTTGTTACTGCGGCCACAGTTTTTACCTTTCCTAGAATGTCAGGTTTGCCTTCTCTTGGAGTCATACAAGATACAGCCTTTTCAGACTAGCTTTTTTCACTTAGAAATAAGCATTTGAGGCTCCTCAATGTCTTTTTCTGGCTTGATAGCTCCTATCTTTTTACTACTAAGTAATATTTTGTGCTCTAGAAAAACCAAAGTTTATTAATCCAATCACCTGCTGAAGGATATGTTGGTTGCTTCCAAGTTTTGGCAGTTACAAATAAAGCTGCTATAAAAATCATGCATATGTTTTTGAAGGTATGTAAGTTTTTACCTCCTTTGGATAAATACCAAGGAGTGCAATTGCTGGATCATATAGTAAGAATATGTCTATTTTTGTAAGAAACTGCCGAACTGTCTTCCAAAGTGGCTGTGCCATTTTACATTTCTTTTCTTTCTTTCTTTCTTTCTTTCTTTTTTTTTTTCCGGAGCAAAAACTGTATTTACACAATACGGGGTTATACAAGGATTTAGAGGCAGAGTGAGGAAACGGCGGTCAAGACGGGTCACAGCGCTGGCTGGCCGTGAGACCCAGGATGTTCGCCGTCAGGAAGGACTCCATCTGTTTCCCCGTTATGCCCTCCGTGCGTTCCAGGTCCTCCACCTGGCTGAAGGGGCCGTGGCGCTCCCACCAGCCCACGATGAGCTGGGCCTTCTTCAGGTCAATGCGCTGAAGACTGCAGAAATTCCGGGCTGAGCCTTCATTTGGCAGATCCAGTATTTTTTTTTTTTTTTTTTTTTTTTTTTGCGCGCATGAGCCAAAAGCTCCGGGCTGATCTAACGCGCAGCAGTCCTCTGCCTTCTCAGGATCTGAGGCATGCAGGGACTCCAGCTTTCTCTTCCGGCCTTTATTCTTCAGGATATGGATCTTGGCATTTGGGGACGCTGCCTGCTCCTGAATTAGCTGTAGGGGCATCACCACAGCCTTTTTCAGGAGCTTTGCCACTGTGACTGTGCGATGCGAAAGGGGCAGGAGCATTGTGGGATAATGGTCCTCCTTTTCCTTTGAGTCTTCAGCCTTTTGGGCCAACGTCTTGGCCTCCAGTTCTTTTTGCTTCATCTTAAGCCCCTCAATCTCCAAGTCCTTCTCTTCCACTGTCTTCATGAGCACCATCCGCTCTCGCTTTGGTGTACTCAACAGAGGGGCCCTCTGGCTCCCTTGGGAGGCCAGCAGACGGTCCAAGCTCAGGAGATGCTCCAGCATGGCCGGTCCATGCTGCTTAGCTTCTGTAGGGGGCTGAGTTTCTGTGAGGCAGAGTCTGGAGCTGCCATGGGCTCAGGGCTCCCGGTCTCCTCTTCCTCAGGATCTTGGGCTCTTTTTGCCTCTGGTGGACCAAGCAATTCTTTCTGAGACAGCCTAACAGGTGCCAAGACGGGAGGCTGCAGGCTTTCATTGGTAAAAGGCCGGTTGATCATCTCCTTAGACCTGGCAGCGAAGTTGAGCACGGAGACTGTGTCTAGGTAGAAGCGTCTCTCAGGGGTAATGTTGGCAATAAGGATGCTGTGAGCTGAGCCACCAAGAGAGTCCTGCAGTAGGCGAGTGAGCTTGCTCTCTCGGCTAAGGTACACGAGGAAGGCCCTGATTCAGCGCATCCACCACCTTGCCCAGGACAAACAGGGAGGTGTTGATGGCTCCGCTCTCTTTTAGCCGAAGGCCCTTGTTGCCTGTGCGACGGTTGTCCTCTGACCCAGCCAAGTCAGTCAGGTAGAGTTTTCCCTCTTGCTGGCGAAATGGGACTAAACGTTCACGCTGGATCAGGAGCACAGCATGACTGCAGGAGGAGCACTGGTTGAGACGGGTGGCACCTACAGTCCGGATTCAACTGGCTGGCAGGAAGTGCCGCTCAAAATCAGCAAAGCTAGTGATGGGCTTTTGCCTGAGGCCCGGAATCAGGATGTTCCCCCGGCAGTCTTCTCGGATCACCAGGTCTCCTGATGCAGGGTCCAGAAGGTCTAATACCTTCTCCTGGTAGATCTCTAACTAGGTCATGGTGACAGAGAGGACCCATGGCTGGCCCTCGGTTCCTTCCTCTCTTGTGAGCTGCAGGAGGTCCATGAGAGCCTGTGGGATCACCCCAGGTTGCTCTGGGCTGCCCAGCATTGTGTGTGTCTTCCCAGCTCCTGTGGGTCCATAGGCAAGCACACTGGCATTCTGCCCTTCTAGCAAGTGCCTTAGGATGGGCT